CTTCTAAAGCCTTTTTCCTGTTTTTTGAAATACTTTTCATCCTACATGTGTTTATATTCAACACAAAATTCAACCTGTAAGTATTCAATATACCTTAAATCTTTTTAAGTAATAATACTTGCATTAAGATTTTCGTGTGGTATAAAAAATAATACTTTTAACACTTATATAATTATATCTGGCTCACATATAGTGTTATGTAGTATAAAGTATACTATCAACATAGAATACAGATAACAAATATTTAGCATATATTTAATCCTTTAAGTAATCAATATTATATTAAATTGTGCTTATGAAAGTAAATATCCACTCACTTTATTGTGGTGGATGATCCACGGGAAAGCTAGGTCCTAAACTAATATTTCATCCATCCCTTTTTAAACAATCCAAATACAAATATTGTTATGTCTCAAAATTCATTCCTATTTATAAGGTTATATTAATTAATTCCAAATTCCTCAATAATCCCAATGAATAGTTCAAGTTCTAGATGATAAGGAATAACTAGGTAAGATCATATCATAGGTAGGATCCGTTTGGTATATAAAGTAAATTTTTTGGAAAATCCACTTTAAACACCTCACTAGATCTAGCCAAGACATCACTTCCGTAAGTAGATCAATCAGTATTATGACTAGAATCACTGATAAATCTTATTTATAGCTTCATAATAATGACTATGAATATAAATATATGTTTAACTTAAAATGTATTAAGTGAAAATTAACTTAAAGAGATTTCTAGCAAAATTTTGGAAAGTCACAGACAGAACTTTGACACCGACACTTCTTTATGTCGGGCTTTCTACTGCTGCAACACCTTGTTGCAAACATTTCGAGACTAAAAAACCTAGAATTTTAGAGAAAGGAGCCCAAATATAGAAGTGCAAGAAATAAGGGAGCATTTAATTGGTATTTATAAGTTGTCAAAGAGGCAGGCGTGTTGTGCCTATGTCAGGGGTGTACTGCACCCTTGCCTTGGCGTCAAGGGTTCCCTCCAGTGATGGCATGTGGCATTCATTAGGTGGTGTTGCCTTGCTGATGTCGTGTAAATTCTCGAAAATTCAAAAAATCATAACTTTTGCATACGAGCTCCGATTTCGACATTCTTTTTATAACCCAGTTTTGTATCGACAAGTACTAAAATTTTCATTTAGACTTAGTCGGCTAATTCATATTATATTTTTATTTTTTACATTCAATTAAATTTACATTGTAAAAGACCTTGTGATATTCATAACTCCTTCATACGAGCTCCGTTCTCGACGTTCTCTATATCGATGAATTGGTATTTACGGGGACATCAACGTTCATTTAGATTTTTCTGGCTAACAATCAACTAATTCATTATGATTAATGTGTCGTACACTATTATACCGTGTCGCACTCGAGATTTCAAAATATCATAACTACCACATGCAAAGTCCTATTTAGCTATTCCTCATACTCACAACTTCATGATTACCAATACTATGACTTTCATTTTGATCACTTTGGCTAACAAGGAACCTGTATTTGATTCATACTTTATGACACACATTGCGGTGTTGAGTTGAATACGAAACTTCAAAAAATCATAACTTCTTTATACAAAGTCAGATTTTAGCCTTATTTATATCCACGAGAACGTCACCACGACTAATACAAGTTCACATAATGTGCATACATTAAATATATATTTATATAGCCCATAACACTTATAAGGAATATTTATTACTTATAATCTTTAAAAAGTCTAGCCCATATTCGTAGGCATTACAATTCTCTCCCACCTTAAATGATTTCATCTTGAAATCACAAATTCAAATTATACATGCGATCCATACCAATTAATTTTAGTTTTCCCAAGTAACAATTGTCTATTCAACATAATGTTCTAGGTTCCTTTAGGACATCTTCTCAGCCTGTCGACCTAGTTTCATCATTGAGACATCAACTCCATTGATTAAAAATTTATTATAACTAAATGACTATTTGTACGTTGAATCTACCTTATCTACCAAGGATTTAGATGACAAAGTTCATGATCTTTACTGATCCATGTCCCTTTTGAGTTTGAAATTGTCGGTTTACCATAATTTTCACATTATCATCGGCATAAATATTCTCAAGAAAGTAAAAGAATAATCTTAAATAAAAAATCTTTACTTATTCATGATAATGAGTCTATGAAAACATTCTTTATAGACTAATTCTCTACACATGTGATGCCCAGAAAGGCATACTTTTATCACTTGGTCAACTATAACACATCATGGTTCAACAAAATCCTGAGACATTGATGTAAATATTTAAGATAACATTGTCCGATTTACCCATATGTACATGTAAAGTTTTCAAGTCCCCTCACAATATTTGATTTTGTGTCCTCACTTGACAACCAAAGCATCCATTCTATCATCTGGATAACAATACCGAAGCAAATAATTCTTAGCTTCTTGTGTTGCAACTCTTTTGGATATTGACATCAAAACCAAAGTTGATTTTCCTTTCGCAATTTTTTTACTTAATCTTTGGTTCGCCACTATTTGGTTTTGAACCCTCTCCTACTGCTACTCATAACCAATCGAAGCCTGCATTGAATCTACCTATATGATTTGTAGCTCCCTTCCCTTTTGGAGGAAAATCCTGATTTTCATATTAATGATTGTACATCCTCAATGTAGTATTGTTGCTTGTATCCAGAACGAGTAAACTTCTCGCATAACACGACCAAAATATGATCGAGATCACGACAAACATGAAGTCGTCCACCAACATATACATATTCAAAAATGATATGAGAGGATATTTCAAAAGTAATGGGATATATTTGCAACAACGATGATTGTGGATCTTAACATTACCCTCCCTCTTCTCTAGGACGATTAACATTGTCGCGCTTGAGTTGATCCTCTTGACCACATCTGAAGTAGTTGGACAAAAACGGACAACAAACATCCTCATGTGTCTTCCATCTTCTTTGTAGCAACCACAAATCTTATGACTTGTTAAATGAGTATCAAAATCTTTGACATCTTCACCACTGGTGGAAACCCAACTTGCACCCTATCTTCATCCTCTGTTGGACCACCCTTAAGTTAAAAACTTGAATTTCATTTGAGACTCTAGCTTCTTCTAAAATTGGGTTGTAGACTCAACCCAATATAAGGTCTTTACTTCAGCTACAAAAACTAGATGACTAGTCGCATTCTAACAATCTTCCATTTCACGTCGCAAAAAATACATAATGAGCTAGAAACTTGTCTCTACGAGATGAACACTAATACATAAGACACCTTCCATCTTGGTATAATAATCCGATCCTTCCTCCTCTTCACATGAAAGGCTAAAACATAACAATATTGCAGTAGGTAGCAGTTCTAGCTACTGGTTGCTTATCCCCAACGAAGGCTGCAATTCTTCTATTGATCACCTTGATCACCTCTTTCTTAAATTTCCCGACTAAATTCGGTTACTACATCGCATTAATTAACTTAATTATGCAGATCTGCATTACTTGGACTCGGTCCGTCATGGACACTTTGGTTCATAACATAATCACTCTGATAGATATTACCATACCGTACGTAATAATAGGAACAATCAAAACAAATTTGTAGTGTTATCCATACTATTGGTGACTTAGTAACCTTGTGACTTCTCCCGATCCAAGTACGAATCCTCTACTTATTGTAGTATAGGCCTATACTATCTTTCACATCTACTCATACTCGTCCCAAGAATTTTCCTGCAGTTCCTAAGTCACCAAAAATGAAAAACACAAAACAAGTTAACATAGATTTATGTGTCCAAATGAGCACATTTAACAATTTCCATTGACTCCACTAGGATTTTCACGTCTCTATCAAGAACTCTAACAACAACTATGTACTTTCCCAAGCACACACTAGATCTCTGAGGCTCACCTTCTAGGATCATTCACAATGCATATACCTGATCCAATATATTCTAACTCTCCACTCCTTTATTTCAGCATCAATAATCCACATAAAAATTCAACATCAAATAAGTCTTTAGGAATGTCTCTACTCAAATGTTATTTTTACAACATGTTCTTCTCCTCCATTTTTTACCGTACTCCATCAATATGTCATTTTATGATGGAATATGACAATATCTTGTCTTCAAGTTTTTTTGGTGGTATAATTGCCTATAATCATCAAAAATACTATACTTACTTATCAACACTTCCTATTTTATGACAATACACTAAGGCTTAGATGATAGTGATTCATAAAGCCTTGATAGTTTAAGATAATGTATATTCAACATAAACTAGATGATGATCCACATAAAACGCAGGGGAACATATAAAAAATAGATATATATATATATATATATATATATATATATATATATATATGTATATATATATATATAAGTAAGTTGCTATTATCAGCATAAAATAAAATGCACTATTTATATTAGTAGCAAGAAATAAAAGTAAGATGCTATTATTGTTGCAAACATAAAAAAACAATTTGCTTTTACTTGCCATTAGGTCACATGCCATGTTATTATAAACACAACAAAAGCAACATACTTTTGTTATAAACATAAAAGAATAATGTTAGGTGCAAGATCCCAAAATCATATTTAGGATCCTTAATTCTTCTGAAACCTCGAGATCCTTAAATATATTGCAGGATCCTGATTATTATCTATAATATTTACTAACACTTGTAACAACCATGTTCTTTTTTTCTCATATATCTAGAATTAGTCAATACAAGACTTATTCTCAATGGAGAGTAACTTCAACTAAGCTTAAGACTCTGGAATACCAAGTCAAGAAACCCTTTATACTCATCATAATCAATCTCAACTGATCATCAGTGTCTAGAATAGGCTTGTCATCATTCATTGCTTCAGATTGAAAGATAACCATTTTTCCTTGATTATCTTCCCTTACTTATTCAGAATAATTAGGATGTAATGGAGTTGCAGTTGTCATCACCAATTCTTTATTATTCTCCCCCTTTTTGCATCATCAACTTAGGGAGGAGAGCTACAAGGTAGAGAGGAAGTGCAGGGATGGGGATTTTTTGATGGTGGAGGAGGATTATTTCTAGGTTGTGGTGGAGGTTGTTGATCTTTTCCGGATGGTGATAGAGGTGGATTATTTCTAGGTGGTAGTGGAGGTGGTTGATCATCACCTAGGGAGCTAGGAGGGGTGTCTTCAATCATCACATCATGATCATCAAGGAAAGCCATTATGCGTTTGATTCCAACCACAACATTTTCCGCTTTGGCCAGTATTTCTCTAAGAGACTGATTCATCCGAACCAACAGGGAAAGCTGGGAGAGCATGAACAAGACTCCCCCTAAAAGGCAGTGGTAGTATGTATAAGAATTGGCATTGGAGGGATAGTTGCAACTTGAGGAAAAAAAGATGTTGGTCTTGAAGAATTCACTGCATGAGTTAGTGGATAAATGGTTTACCCTTGAGGTAGGGATGATCCGTGTTGTGCTATATCTTCTATATAAGGAGTTGTTGATGAAGTAGAGGTTGAAGAAAAGCGAATGTGTTGGTTCAATCTTGGGGTAGAGTTAGTTATTCCTTAAACAGAAGCTTCTCCCATATCAATGTCTGATTGATCTTCTTCATCATCAGCATCTTCTTCATCATCGGGAACATCTTCCTCAACCTCATGATTTCACTCATCATCATTTTCTTAAGAATCTGAGGTTACAACAACATACATATTTTCAACCCAATTCTCCGTACTAGGGGTAAGATTCATATCCCCACCATTAGGGTCGTCATTGCTGATCTTTGATGAAAGAACTGGAAGGGGTATGGATACTCCATGGTTGATGTTGTAACCCCTTCAATATGAGCTAGAATTAGTGCAAGCCAACGACGATATGGAAGATAGTTTGGCTTCTTGTTCCCAGTGATGCATTCAACCAATTTATCAAATAAGAGTTGATAAAAATCTATTCTTTTGTTGTATGCCATGCATACATAATTCGTTTCTGAAATAAGTTTAACTGGTCTATACTTCACGTCTTATGTCCAAGTCACTTTCAAATCACCCCTGATAAGTACTTCCACCCATCACAATAGCATTGGCGAAGGGTATATTTATATGGGTCACGAGTAGTACCATGAGAAGAGAAATTATACCCTAATCTAGATTGAATAGACTTGCATTTTTCCTCAGAAGGATTTTCTGAGTAATTTTCTAATTAGGGAAGACATGGGGCAAGTCTAAAATATGTTACATTGATAACAACCCAATAAATACCGTCTCTGATTGTTCCGGTAATGGTTAGAACATTAAATTCGACAGTACAAGAATAATATAACTCACATACTTGCTTAGGGTAGAATGGCTTAGGGAAATCACCGAATGTGTAGCAAAGGGTGCAACGTTTGATGTAGTTGACAAAATCTCCAATCCCTGAGTTCATGTATTGATTTGGGATGATATCAGAGAATGCAACGTTGTTTGCTTGGATTACAATGGGAGTATCAAGAGCATGGGGGGCCTTTTACCACATTAGCATCAAGAGAAAACATGTAGAGAACCTTCATCATGATGAAATCTTAAAGAAATCAAAACTAAGATAATGAAGATTGAGAGAGAGCCTTGCAAGAGAACTTAGACTGCTTGAGTGAGTTATAAAAGTGACCTAGGAGAGAGATTTCTCCTAATTTATGCATGAATTTTCTTCCTTTTATGTAATCATGACTGAAGGAAGCGGCGCCGTAAAAATCTTGTATTTCAAGATGTTGTTCCAGATCTGTAATTGTCATCCAGAAGTTATCGTTGAAATAAGCGAATTTTATATCAGTGAGGCATAGTATCAGTAGAAGCAGTTAGCATATCAGAGATGCATTATTAGTGGATCAAAGTTGCAACTAACAAACGAGTAAGATTTTGACGTCTCCTGATAACATGGGTTTATACCATAATTCAATGACATAGTATTATCAAGTCTCATTAGTGTATGTTTGTATACACTGAATCGTCAACCTCTTTTATTAGAAGAATAAAGGGTGAGAATGGACTGATGTGTGTAATACATTCCAGTACGACATGTATCCATCGGAAAAGTATGTCAAAGTTTTTATCAATGTATGGTAGATACAGTGAGTCATCAACTTCTTTAATAGAAGCTTTGTTGGGAGAGAATGTGTTGGATTTTGAGCATTCTAACACTCATATGGTGTACATGAAACCCTAAATACCTTGGATCTATGTTTTCTCTATTATACATGCAAAATATCAATTTCCAAGGTATTTATCCTAACTAACATATTATGATGTATAAATAATATAAAATCTAGTGGAATGACATACCTCTTTGTTGGTGCTTGATTCCATGTAGCTTGAGAGCCTAGTGCCCCAAGCGTGACACCTCAAATGGTTCACACAACAGCAAATGCATTTGGAATAACTTAGAGAGAAAATAGAACACTTCAAAATCGACTTGGCCGCACTCCTTCACTTAGTGGTCGATTTCTTCAATAATAAGATCATTATATAGTTAGTCACAATTACGGTAAACCCTAATTGTCATGGCTTTCCATTTCCTTAGATCCATGGGTTCAAATACACCATGGAGCATCTTATGGGTTTTAGCCCAACTTGATAATCCATGGAGCATTAGCCCACTATATAAGTATGGATGATTTACACAATCAACCCATATATTTAATTAGTCTTATTTTGATCACTTAATTAATTCTAGATTAATTCTTGATCAATACTAATTAAATAATACTATTAATATATTAGAACCTATAATATATTAATAAGCCTTAAGTGTTATTTCTCTCATTTTAGTCTATCCAAATGCATGATGCCATGCAACCCAAATGGACCACACTGGGTCGGGTCAAGTATATAGCAATTATAGTTGTGGACTTAGAAACTAATCCAACAGTCTTCCACTTGGATAAGTCTAAAACTATTATTGCAAGTACGACTTCATAACCCGACTAGCAATCGTAGCACTAAAAATCCATTGTCGAACTCTGAACAAATCAATGACGCGTCCATCAGATAAGTGATCATATATTCCTCCATTCTATATATGATATGGAGTGAGACATGGATTATAATCATTCTCTCTGTCCATTTTTTGTTTTTTGATTTCTGATTTATGACGAGTGACTAATTGAACAAATCAAATCAGTCCAGGCCCGACCGAGCACTTACATTTTGTCATCACTAAATCATCGAGGGGCCCACAGATATCGCTTGTATCCCTTTGAGGGTAACAGGAATGGATAAACTTCGACTCATATGCTTGTACTGACTACTTGTTAAATCATACACAAAGGCACGTTTTATAACATCGAGTTACCAATGCGTTTTCGTGCAATCAATGTATAACCAACTCATAGTCAACAACTCATATCTCTAGGTTTGAAGAATATAAGATATTATCGTCTCATGATTCACTCGTGATAAAATCCATGAAGTGATTCAAATGAGCGTGGGTTTAATCCAATACTCAGAACTTATGAGCACTTATGAATGTTGTAGTAATCATTGCTATGTCTAATCCACCTTAGACAAATATTACAAGCCAAATTCATGACAGTCTTGATTCATATCTACTTCCAACATATCACCGACTATGGATGGTTTGAATAACTTAGTCATTTAGGAAGAACGACCTAGTTATTCGGGAAGTCAAAACATGCAAAGTGAAACACAAGAATAATACTTAATCCTATATGGCCCCAAACTCTTGAGTGTAAATAAAAACCCTTTTATCTAAGCACCATATTGATTAATCATTATTCATGTTTCGATTATTCAACTTAATACTTGAATTAAAACAATAGTCATGCCATGCTCCAAGTATGCACACTATGTTTTTCCAAACAATAGTTATGCCATACTCCAAGTATGCACACTATGTTTACATATGGTCCTCTCTTTGTGAAACAGATCGACTGATAATATTTCATTGATGCTTCTTTCACAATTTCAATCCTTATTATAAATGTAAGAATACCAAACTCTTGCCATTTACTATAATTTGTTAGATTCTAAACTTATATGCAATGATCCTCTTGTAATGAATATGCATACAAGTCACAAAGGCTTGGCAACAGACACTACAAAGTATTCCAATGGAAAGCAATTCCATGGAAATGTAGTCTTAAATTCAAAGTACATTCCTTTGAACATGCTCCTTTGCATTAAGTTCTTTTAAACTTCCACCTATGGAAACAATTCCATATTCCCATTTTGACCATCACCTTTTGAACAAGAGTTGCCTCTTTTCAAAATATGTCAATATGGTCCTTACTCTATACTTCTAGTTGTCCAAGAGCAACCAATCTTTGGTAAACCTCATATTGTCCTCGACAATTTGCTTAATCATTTTAGTCATTTCCAGTTCTATTCCTTTTTCCATCTTAATGCCCTAGGCATTTGGAAAATTTAGAACAGATTATAGTACATGTAATCGAACCTATACCCGAAGCATATAGGACACGATTCATGCTATAAATTTTTTTATTTACCATATTCACACAATTCAAACTATAAAGAGGTATGCCGTAATCATAATCGAATTTTGAGAACGCAACTTATATAGAATTTCCTTATGTTGAACCATTCCAACATAACATTCATATATATCCTTGACTAAAGTTGATTAAAATCCCAATCTAAGTTTGTAGAATTGGAATGAAGTATAAAATCCTCTGCCTTAATTATAGGAAGACAACTTTTCAAAGTGAATTGAAACTTTTGTTTTCTATAATTAACATTGCTAACTTGCAGCATAATCATCATGCCCCCACTAGCATAATGATTATTATCTTACTAGCATAACACTTATGCTCCCACTAGCTTTGACATGTACTCAGAAATCAGCTGGACTTCTAGAACAACAATACTTTAATGAAATTCTTACCAAAGTTCAGATTTCTGATATGATATGCTTTAATAAGACTTTATCAAAATCATACACCTTTTCTTAGATAGCTCACATGTTTGTCTAGATCTTTTGCCATTCTCACTAGTTAGTGTGTCGGTTAACCACACACGCTCCACTAACAACATGAGAATGCAAATATCACAACTGCTATCTACTTAAAATCCATTTAGTGAAAGCGTTTCCTCACCATCAATTTCATGAATCAGAGAGAAATCTTATGAAACTTAGATTTTATGGTGTAAGTGTTCCTATCCATGTGAATTTGTCAAAACCATATCACAAGACAAAGTTAGTGACAAACCCAGACTCATATGGACTGAAAGTCATGGGTAAGTGATTAAAAATACTCTTGATTAGTTCTTTGAAATTATTTCAGGATCTTTTAGACTCCCAATGTC